TCCACTAATAGGCCCGCAACGTCGCCCCTTGTGGTTCAGTGGAGTCGATCTGGGGGATCCCCATTTTGAACGCTAGCAGTCTGTTCGGAACCAGACCTCCCAGGTTGTAGTATGTTGTATCACCCTCTGAATGAACCGTATGAACAAATGAGTCGATCCCTTGATACTGCTTCAGTCCTTCATTCGTCACGTAATGCATGTCAGCGTGTGGTTTTGCCAAATCAGGACTAGATTCGAGTGACGGTGAGAGAGCCTTGTCTGTTTCCAAGGAACTAACGTGTAAATCATCAACCTCGGTGCCTAGTAGTATTCGAGTAGATGATGCCTTTATGGCCTTGCAGGTCACTTGCACTTGTCCCGTCTCAACGGCTTCGACAGCGCGTGATCGTGGGCCAGGCGTATGGAGTCCTGAAAACGCCAAGATTGTCTTGGCGGAGGGGCTGGTGAGCCGGGGGGATACAATGGTGGGGTCCTGCACGGCAGACCCGTTCCTGGGAAGTTTCCCCTCCATCGCACAAGACACGCCGTCTCGCAACCCTTGTGTTCTGCGCGCGACGGCTCGATTTTCGGAACTGTCTCCGGCATGTGCCACTGCTGGTTTCCGTGGTAAGGAGCTTCAATCGAGCGACGACTTCCCCCGTAACGCGTGGACGCGTCGACTTCCTGCACCAAGCTTTCCCTCGGTAGCCATCATTACGAACAATATCCACCCCGAACATCTTTCTCGAACGATCCGACAGCAGCCACTTGCGGCTGCATAGCATCACGAATCGCTGAGCATCTGCGACTCTCGAAACCCTTAGTCTGCTTGCTAGCTACCTGGCTGGCGATGCCGTCGTACTTTTATCACCTAAAGTTCGAGCTCTACCCGACACCCAACCCTACAACCAGCCTGCAGCGACCGACACAAGGCAGCACAGCAGCGAGCAACATCTGGCTTCCTCCGCTCGGCACCGACATCTTTGGCGAGCTTCCCTCGCATCCTCCACGTAATACACGAACGAGCCGAACCGGAAGACCGCAGCCTTCGCCCGTCCAGTCATCATACGGCACAGCGTATCGACCGAACCACGCAGCCCAGAAGCGAGCCAGCGACGACAGTGAGGAACCCGGCCTGCACATCATCGACTGCGGACTTTCGCGCGCCCCCGTCAAAGCCGACAACGGCAAGGACGTCGAGGTCCTCACGGCGCGGCAGTGGAAGGCGAGAACGCAGAGCTTCCCGCCACCGCCCGCGTTGGCGGCCATCCGACCCGACGCTGCCGTGCAAGACTGGCGCTTCGGCCGAGTGAGCGTCGAGAGCCTCGAGCAGCAGAACACCAACAGCGCAACAGACATGGAGGAGGCCGCGGGGTCGTCGGGCGAGCGGCCGTCGGCTGCCACGGGCATCGGCCCCATGTTCGGCGGCGCGGGCAGCATGACCATGGCGAAGCTCCTGCCGCTCGACACGACGAATACGGAGCTCGGATGGGGCGTCGTACACTTCTACCGCGAGCAGGACGACAGCCCGAGCTTGCGGAGGCCCATCACGGAGCAGCAGACGGGCAAGGACGGCGATTGTACGACGGTCTGCATACCTGCCGTTCCGAGCTACTGGTCGTTTCATGACTTGCTGGGCTTTATTGGCGAGGAGTGGAAGGAGAGCATCAGTCACTATCGACTTGTGACGACGGCGCAGATGAACCGATATCTTGTCCTCATGAAGTTTCGGGACGGTCAGAAGGCGAGGGCATGGCAGAAGGAGTTTGACGGAAAACTGTTTAACAACATCGAGGTGAGCATCACCATCATCCCAAAGACTGAACCGTACCTCGCTAATATGTCTGTCACAGGCGCAGGTATGCCAGGCTATATTCATCAGGTCGATCACTTTCGAGACACCTACAAGACCGGATGGCGCGTTTCCTGACTTGAGCCGCGATCCGTTTACGCCCTCCTCCGCCGTGTCGAACACCCTCAAGCCGTTTCCGCCGCCTACACCGAATCTTATCGAGCTGCCGACATGTGCTGTATGCCTGGAGCGCATGGACGACACGACGGGCCTCATGACCATCTCATGCCAGCACGTCTTCCACTGCAAATGCCTCGACCACTGGCAGGGCTCTGGCTGTCCCGTATGCCGGCACACCAGTAGCAAGCCCGCATATGATCCGTCAAACCCCTACACTCAGCCGTTTGGCTCCTCGGTTTCGAACCTCTGCAGCGTCTGCGATACCGCCGACGATATCTGGATATGTCTCATTTGCGGCAAGGTCGGCTGCGGCCGCTATAAGGGCGGCCACGCGAAAGATCACTGGAAGGAAACAGCGCACAGCTTTGCCCTCGAGATGGAAACGCAGTACGTCTGGGACTACGCCGGCGACACCTGGGTGCACCGTCTCATCCGCGACAAGGGCGACGGCAAGGTCGTAGAGCTCCCGGGCACCACCAGCCAGCAGGCCGGCCTGTCCAACAGCGGCGACGGCTCAGGTCAGCAAGATGACGTCGTGCCCCGCGCCAAGCTGGACAACGTCGGCATGGAGTACACCCACCTCCTCACCTCGCAGCTCGAATCGCAGCGCGTCTACTTTGAGGAGATGATCAGCAAAATCGCAGACAAGGCCGCCAAGGCGACGAGCACGGCCGACTCGGCTCTCCAGCAGTCCAAGGCCACGACATCTGAAAATAAACAGCTGCGCGCCGCGCTCGACAAGCTGCGGCTCGAGACGGTGCCGCAGCTCGAGCGCGACGCCGAGCGAGATCGCAAGAAGGCGGAGAAGGCACAGGACCTCGCTCGCAGCCTCGGCAAGGCGCTGCAGGAGGAGAAGGAGGTTGGCAAGGGACTCATGAAGCGCGTTGAGCATAACCAGGCCGAGGTCGAGGCGTTCAGGGCGCGGTATGCTGAGCAAAAAGGAGAAGATTGCCGAGCTCGAGGAGATGAATCGAGATCTGAGCATGTTCATCTCTGGGCAGGAGAAGCTCAGAGAGATGGAGGCCGAGGGGCAGGTTGAGGCTGGCGAGTTGGCGGAGGGCAGCGCCAGCGTGCCGGAGAAGAAGGGCAGGAGGAAGGGAAAGAGGTGATTTGGGGGCTAGGGGTGGCATGCATAGCGAGGCGTACATGAGAAGATGAGAATGATATCCACTGTTTTACGCTGCAAATGTGTGTGGTTTGACCGTCTTGGAGGCATCATTTCTTGTGACGTCCCGTCATACCTTGGTCAAGTTGTCAAGAAATAAATGAATGTACGTGATAAGGTTCATTGCAAAATGGAGGAAAGCAAGGACGAGTCTCAACAAATTGACAGGACAGGTGTGCGAGGAAGTGAACTAAACGAAGTATCGAAGCGCTTCGCTAAACAGATTCAAAATCAGGCTGTGGCCTGTCTTCATCAAAACGCAATCGACTCGCCCGGTATGGAGATTCTGCCCTCAGCAATGGTCACACCTCCACCTATCAAGTCTACCTGGCGGATGTCCCCGCCCTCTGACTTCTCCAGCGACAGTGCAACCTTGATCAGACACCTTCGTCCAACTCTCAGCCCCTGGTGAACTTCAATCTGGGCGGCACCGTCGACGAGTTCCAATTCTCCATGCTCATGAAGATAAACTGACAGGGGTCCGGCCGCACTGCCAGTCGCCGGATCTTCGCCAGACATGCCTGGGCTGAAGAATCTGGCTTCATACTTATTCGCGCCCACTTGCGTGAACAGGAACAGCCCATAAGCCCGCTTGTCGACGAGAGCCAGCTGCTCCAGGAGCTTGTCCCTCTGCACGACTGCCTTGTTCAGAGCCTCCACAGAGGCGAGCGGGACGAGAAGGTGATGGGTTGTCGAGGTGGACGTCACCTGAGGGGGCAACAGGCTGTTGCTGTTGCTGGCGGCAAAGCCGATATCCGCCTCCGTCAGTCCGAAGCTCTCGGCCAGCAGAGCTCGGTTGGGATGGATGCCGTGGACTTTGGGCGGGGCCTGGCGAAGGAAGACTTCATAGTCGTTCTTGTGCTCAGGCTTCTTGATACGGCGGATCTTGAGGGCGATGACCTCGCCTCCGAGCTCCTGGTGGAACAGAAACGTTTCAGATCCGTCTTCGTGCGTCTGGCTGAGGTTGGCGGAGGTGAAATTTAGAAGCCCGCTCTCGGCGAGGTACCACCACACACCCAGGATGTTGTGGCCGGCACCATAAACTTCCCGCCCATCGGGCAAAAAAGACCGCAGGCGGTAATCTGCTTTCTCTTCGGTGGCTGGCAGGATAAATGACGTCTCAGAGAGGTTAAACTGTCGCGTGATCAATTGTTGCTGGGTGGTCGTCAGCACCTGAGAGGTGGCGTCCACGATTGCGAGAGGATTTCCTTGATAGGGCGTCTGCGAGAAGATGTCGGCAATTGTAAACTGTAGGGAAGCCATCGTGCGAGTAGTTCTTTGGGTGTTTGAGTACTTCAGCGGTCGTGTGGTCAATGTCTTCTTGTAGTGCTGTGCATTTGGTGCCGATGGAATACGAGTAAGTGGGAGTGGCGATACATTGTTGGTATCGCTGATACAAGTCAAACTATTTATCTTGATATTTGCGCGTCTTTGGTGTTCAGTTGGGAAGTTGTCTCATGGCGGATGCAATTGTCATTCTCGCGATGAGCGATCAAGCTTGTATTTGTAATCGCGAAGGGCGCGCCTACAAACGATATGACATGTCCCCTTCTGGCAAGAGCGAGCGTTTCCTGACGAACCACCACGATTTGTCATGGTGTCTGCTCGTGTCGTGATATTGTGGCTTTTTTACAAATATGTCAGGACTTGGTGTGAAATCAGAACTTGTATCTGTTGTACAAGCTATGGGCACCTTGACATCGATGGTGTGATTGCTTCTTAGTTGCATGGCCGATGAAACCACACGCTTCAGCTTGGCATCACTGACATGAGCATGTGGGTTTCTTTTGGCATCATATTACAGCCTATTCGTCGCTCCCAACACATGAACGTCCTCAGCTTCGGTATTCCGAGCAGGTCCAGTAACATCGTATGCTCGTCTGGGCAGAACCAAGTAGCGGTGCAATCTCAACCTCGTCTTTTGAACAGAGACAGCCTTTAGAGCTGCTCTGAGGCATTGTGAAAAACGACATCTTCGTCGTCAGAGGTGCCTCTCACATCCATCTTATTTAGGAGAGCTTGCCGCATCTCGGCAGTGGCCTTTTGCACAGACTCCAGCAGAAAATAGAAGGCCGCATCAAGTTGTGGGCTTCTATCAGTGCGCTGCAAGAACAGAACCTCGGCTGTTTCTCCATTCACTGTCGCTTCCGAGTCAACGCCAGCCAGGCCATGATGTGCCAAAACACGCCATGGTCGCCTTATTTGCCAACACAGCAGCACAATACAAGATGTTTGTTCCATCAGGTAATTCTGCCTCATAGTCTGCCCCTGCGGCGAGCAGCAGCCTGCATATTGACTGCTGCACACTGTGGGCAACCGCGTAGTGCAGCGGTGTAGCTCCGGCCCTGTCGCGAGTATGAACATTGACGCCAAGATCAATTAGATACTCAACTGTATAGAACGAATTATGCTGGAGTCCTACCATGAGTGGCGTGCTGAATGATGCAGCTGGCTCGTTCGGGTCGAGCTCATACTCTTCAACGAGAATCTGAACCAAGCCAACCCTGTCGTGAATGCATGCAGTCTACAAAGCACTCCTCGTCTGTACTCAGATAGGCGCACCCATTTTAATAATATCCCTCAATATATCGGGCTCTATCCGGGCCATGAGACTTCCAAGGCTGTAAGACCGCAATTGTTCGGAACGTTGACATCGATGCCATGTCGAACAAGAAGCACGATGGCTTCTTTGTGGTTGCTAACTGCGGCCCAGTGCAGCGGTGTAAAGCCAACTCCATCTAGGCCACTTATAAGAGAGTCCCAGGGGGTAAGTTTTGCCAGTGCAGACTGCAGGTCACCCTGTTGTATCCCAAGTATTATCTTCGTGATCCGCGATAAATCTAGGTTATCGATTAGCGTAGCGATGGGAAATGCTTCTGAGATGGCGAGATCGAATGCAGTAGCAGACCGTTGAAGCAACATATTTGCAGCAACCATGCTTACCGGAGCGATCCCTGAACCGTTCTCTTGCTGCACGTCACAACCGCTTCGAATAAGGAGCGTGACCAAACCATCGTCAAAACAACGAGATTTTCCACCGACCAAGTGTAAAGCGGTATCTCCAGTACTCGCCACTTGGCTGAATGCTGCCTCCGCGTTGTCAATCAGAATACACCGTGCTTGATCGTAATTCCCCAGAAGTATAGACCCAAGCAGGGAATCACGTACGAGAGGGGGCCGCTGCATTAACCGGAGCCTGACTTTCGGGACAAGGCTTTCGTGATGTGTTTGAATCATGAGATACATGAACAGACCAAGGAGCCACTGAGGAAATTCATAACTGAATTTGTATGTTTTGGACTCAAGGCGAGTGCCCGCACCCACATCGCATGGAGGTGCCCAGGTTGGAAGTCCAGTATAAGACGCAAAAAAGAGGCCTGTGCATTGGCGGAGAAGTCGCGATGTACTCCAATGGGACTGGGTTGTGTTCACAAGGTGGCATGAGCATACGCAAGAGCGCTTGCACAAGCCGTTTCGGTACGAGACCCAGATGCTAGAGTTCGCGGCAGCCGATGGCAATGATGTTCCTGGCGCTAAAGAAGACTCCTCTGCATGCCCTGCAGACATAGATTCCCTGATTTTTGGCTTAAAGGTATTAGCGATAGCTGTCTTTGACAATGTTTGTTGATTGGAAATGTGCTCGACGCCGGCGAGGACGCGCGTGAGTACTCCGTAAAGGGTTTCGAACGTTTCACGCCCCTGATCTTGTGCAGCGTTCAGGTCATTGTGGACAGAAATCAAATCCATTTTGATACGTAAACCTTGTTTCCTGAGATTATCAGAATCAGCATTTAACCAGGCCGGAAAACAAGACTCCAGGCAAGCCGAGGTAAGGGGCAAGACGGACCCATTGAACACATCACAAAGCATCCTTATGCTGCGATGAGTCTCTTTCATGCGATTCCTCTCAAAAATAACCGCATTCTTACGTCGAATCCACCAATGCCTCATCTTTGAGATTTCTCTCAGATTGTCGTCGTTCAGCAGACGTTCCAGGGAACCCAAACATGCATCAACTGACGCCAAGTGCCGCTCAAGACTTCTGGACAAGTCCTCCTGTGAGCAGCCGTCAGCAGCGTCGCATATATCTCGTGTATGACAGAGAAGGACCCTGAAGTCGGTAATTTCGTTTTGAAGCTGGAGTATTTCATGCGGTGCGTTTTTCCAAGCCAGACGGAGGAATCGGAGTCTTTTCGAGACGCGACTACCAACGTCGAGGACGCCGATCACACCAGCAAGGATGCCGAATGCTTCGGCCATACTGGTATGGTAACTGATTTTCGTTTGGAATAAAATTGCTAGAAGTGGAACGCTTTGCTCGGACAAGAGGCCAGGCAGGCTCGTAGGAGCGAAATGAACAAGGCTGTCATGCGCCGAACCGAGACGCTGCAGCCTGACTTTGGGTTAACTTAACGGCCTGATACACGTGAGCCATCTCTCAGCTTAAGACTAATACCGATCTATCGCAGCCCGAAGAAGTATTTATGGTACTCGGGAGGATGACCCTGGATTCCTCCCGGTTGAGCCGCAGTCGGATGACCAAGACTTCCACGACTGCGTAATTGGATATTCTGATGAAGAGATATGAACATGCTATTTAAGCCACATTAAGAAGTAAGTATGCGACGTGTATTTGTTGTGAGATGGGTCTCTTCTCGACAGAGCTCTAGCCTTGCCAACGATGCATGGTCTATAAAGGCTGTTTTTGAAGCCAAATAGCAACCAGGTTCGGTGGTGTAGTTGGTTTATCACGTCAGTCTAACATCTTTCCTCGCTCTCGAGTCAAGAGTTCACTGAAGGTCGGGAGTTCGAGCCTCCCCTGAATCATTTTTGTTGTTATGATGTCCCGCATGAACTTTTGCCAACCCATGAACTTTGACATCCCAAACGTTGCGCAAGACTCTCAGCCAAGAATTAGTTCCCGCGGCGTTCTTGATTGACGGTGCGATTGATGCCTCGTCAAGTAGCGCCAGGGAGGTTTCAGTGCAGACATTGCAGTGTTCTTTTCTGTGTTGGCTAGAAAACACTAAACGCGGCAAGTTCGCATTTCGAACACTGTCAATGAGAGGTTCACTTTATCTGATCTCGGTTGCTCATCACTTTGTCGTCTCTATTCCATCCTGTCATCGCCCGATGCGCCATGAGCCCCATACTCGTTGCTATATACATTCAATGTCTCCCACATAGATGAGGGGGGGGATTACCCCAGAGATCCTCCTGAGTACCATGAAAATATCATACAAGTCATGCCAAAGCCCCAATTTGCCCCAAATTCAAATCAAACCCGTATGCTTCATGCACATTCCATCCTCTTCATTATTGCCGCTGTCGTAGGCTGTCCGTCTTCTCAAAGGGGTATCAATATCGCCCTGCCTTGTCTGTTCGCAGCTCATGTGAGCCGAGACTGATTTTTCATTTGTTTTTTGTTTCTCTCTTTTTTTCTTTTGTTTTTTTTGGTTATCCCTCGTCCTCGCATCGTTTAGTCGTCTGCTAGCTCACTGCTGCTCCCGCTGGAGCCGCTCGTGACGCTCATACTGCGGCGGGCTTGGTGGACGAGGCGGTAAATTCCAAAGGCGACGAGGGCGAGGACAACAAAGAGAACGATGACGATGATGGCGATGGTGTCATTTGGTTTCGTCATGTTGGCGGTCTTGTGTAGTATGGAGGTTGCGGGATGGGCTGACGGAGAGCTTTCGCGGGGCTCGATTGAGGGGTTGCGGAGCCTTGGAGCTGGTGTGGAGGCGGAGTGTCTCAGATGGTATAGTTATGGCAGTTGAGTGTCGTATATGGTAATGAAATAGCGAGAATATGATCGAGGACTGATGCTCAAATGTTAGAAACTCCATCAGGATCAGACTGATGTCCTGGAGAAAGGCAGACTCACGATCTGGACTCGTTGGAAGCTGTGGTCGCACGCTGTAGGCAAGCTTCAAGCGGGGCCTCTGCGAGCTGCTGGTATGTATGTGTAGCTTGTTGACGCTGTCAAACGCAAAGAAGCAAGTCGAGGAATTTCGGGTATCGCTGAAGTCGTGGAATAGTCTCGCTGAGCACAATGTATTGTCAGGTAAAGGTACCAGAAGAGAGGAATGTGTCTGACGGCACAACGGTGGACAGAGAGTATTAATGGGCTGTTGCCCCGCCACCGGCTTTTGGGCAAGTCAATAAAATGGCAAGGCTGGGGGCGCTGGTGCAGGGGTGCTTTTGGTGGGCAGGGCGGGACTGGCACAGGCCTGCTAGGGTCCACATCAGCACCCTTGTGTGGGTCTGACTGCCCAGCCTCTACGTTTCAAGTACCTTGCCAGCCATTTTGTGTGCGCAGATACTCCCACACGCGACCGCCGACCAACGCGTCTACAGCCAGGCTCCCTTTACCATGCCATCATCAGGCGCCATCGACTGGTTGGATGCGCAGGGTTTGCTGCCACCGCTTTCAAGTTTTTGATCATTGACTGCCTGACGCATCCATATTCGCGGCCCGCGAAACCTTACAGGCCTTATTCTATCCTCAACAGCCTCAATATTACGGCTTGAGAGGAAGTACGACACAAAGAACAGGCAAATGTGCACGCAGGATCCCACATACAACTACATACATACCCAACCGCGCGTCGACTTGAAACCCAGAGGAGGCTGCGCGAACATGGCACAGCTACCAGTTGCTGGTTGCAGCCAGCGCGACAAACCCATGCGCCGGCGCCGCAGATCCGTGTCATAGCTCTTCGTAAACTGTGCACTCATTATTTCAGCTCGGTATCTGTCGTGCCCGTAGCTGTCTTGATGATCCGAATGTGGCGCTCGTAGAATTGAAGCATCTGCGGAGAACATGTCAACATCACACATCACGGCTCGTCCCAAGGAAACATGGGACCGTACCTTTTGAGGACAGCGCTTGTAGATGACGTCGGTCGTGTGCTTTGTCTTCTGACCGTTCTTCCAATTCAGGTACACAATCAGCTTGCCCGTCTCCTCGTCCTCGCATGCATCAATTGTGGTGACGTCGTCCTCCCAGCTACCGCTCGGCGGCTTCCAGGTGTTCGCTGTGGCGCTTGCTGGTGGTGTGCTATCGGACGGGTGGTCGCGGCTCTTGCGCGCGCGTTTTGACGAGGCTGCTGGTGTGCTAGAGGCAGGGCGTCCGCGCTTCTTTGCCTCCTTTCCCTTGCGGGATTCCTCAAGGATCATTGCCCGCGAGCCGACCGACTTGTAGTATTCGGCGATGATCTCTGGTGCACCCTCGCTGTCCGCAACTGTAAGTCACATGTAGACCCGGAGCAGCTCCGCCTCAGGGGTGGGATACGGCACGTACGTCAGGTTCGATTCGGGTTCCCACGTCTGGTCGGCTTTCTTCGAGTAGCCCTCCCACTTCACTTTGAAGAAGAGCTGATCCTGTGTTGTGTTATCGAATGATTCAAGCACGACGGAGGATCAGTTGAGAAATACCCCTTCTTCAACCTTGTGCGAGATGATTTTTTCGACGATGAAACTATAGCATCAAGAGTCAGCCAGGCCGTTCGTTGCAGCGACGATGTGGACTTGTCCATACACCTCCTCGTCTCCGTCTTCCTCGTCATTATCCTCGTCATCTCCCTCCTTATCGTCTGCCACGTCCTCGGCATATCCATTCTCGACCGGTTCATCATTCATTTCCTCGTCTGACTTATCCGGTGATCTGGACTTCGTGGATCGGTCGCGCGTAGTGGGGACCGGGATATCGAAGTCATTGTCCGATTGCTCGGTGTCGCTGAGCGCTGGGAGAGTCAGTCAGTATGCGCTGGGCATGTTCGGGGTTCTGTCCTCGCGACCGGGGTCCAGGAAATCGCGCGCGACCGCCAACAAGTCGTGGATTGGACGGTGCGACAGCTGTTACGCGACGCGATAGAGTTGCGAAAGGGACCGTGATCGGCTGGCAGATGCGAGAGGCGAGGGAAAGTGCGAGGCCTACCTGGCGGCATCGTAATGGAAGAGTGGAAGCAGGAATCAATCGAACTGGCGGGGGTCCGGGTGCGTCAGGCTGGCTAGGTCCGAGTGTGATGCGATTCGGCTTGCGGTTCGGGGTGAAGGGCAACAGTGACGGAGTTGGTGGAAGTGCTTCGCGACACGCCCATCATGCACACGCTTAGAATGTTCGGCCACGCCATTCTGGGAGAGCTCTGTCCAATGAAATCACCGGGGCCTTTTCGGCATCGGCATAGCTTTGAGGCAGCACGCGACGGCAGGCAGCACGCGACGGCTCAGCACAGTCTTGAGAATGGGTCCTGTGGGGACTACCAGCCCAACAGAACAGTAGGAGTTGTCGCACACTTTCTAGCCTTGTAGTTCGTTACGGAAGTCGTCTTTAGCCTTCATGACGTGGTTCTCTAGGTATGTGCCCCAGGACTTCCCTCCACGGTGCTGCTTTGCACATTAGTCTCTGCCGAAATGACGAGAAAAGTCAATTGCATTTGCCGCCGGCAGCACCATGGCTGTCATGGGGAAAACTTGATGTGACTGCCCTCATACCGACCATCAGATAGGACAATTTTATCATGGCGCATAACAGGGACACAGGCGAGCCAGGACGTTGATCAACAAAGTGATTGCACGTGGAAGGCCAGAACATGGACTCCATCACTCATCTCCACTGCTTAGACAGCCTGCTGTCTTCATAAGGCTAAGTATTTTATCCGCCAATTACTGTGACTTGTTATTTTCGCCCTCTACTTCGGAGAACAATTGCAACTTCCGCTTGTTTTCTGGTTTTTAGGCTATCATCTCCTCTGAAACTGGACGAAGCTTCCCACTTTGCGTGAACCATTCCTCTGCACAGACATGGTCGGTGATGACACATCTTCCCCGTCGGCTTGTGGCCAGCTCGATCCGTCGAAAGGCCATGTAGTAGATCGATGGGAGACGTCTCGGCATCTCCAGCTGATCTCACTCTGAGCCGATGCTCTCCGAGCATCAAGTCTTACGGGGGAGGTAGGGATCCGACCCCATTACGTTCACATGCGATCCTGTCCAACAGATCCTGCACCCTGAGAGGCATGAGCTAGCAGTCTGCTGCTCCAGTTGATCCAGCACCATGCTTCCAGATTTGTAAGACCTGCCGAAAACCACGAGCTTGCCCGAGGCATCGTGTCGTTCTTTTCTGTTGGCAATCCTTCGCCCGGGAATAAACGGCCGATCTCCTTGCTCGATTCTTCAGGTCAGTACGTTGTGTAAAACTTAAGGCCCGAATGCGGAAGCTACCTGCCGCATTCATAGCCTTCGAGTCCCGAGGAGAAGGGCCGGCCCTGAAAACTCAGCCTCACCCGGCTGCATGTGCGATCGACTTCCAGCTCAATCTCCCCCTGAGGACCCGGATTCACATGTAACGAAAGGCTTCGCAACGGAAGGTTTGAATGCTGTCATCAGCTGCCGGTGCGAACTCTACTGCTGGTGGCATATTCCAAGATTCGGGCTGGCTCCGTATGTCCCTGAGAAACGGGCCCCTAATGCAACCCTCTCAGCCGTTCCTGAAGCGAGTAGGCGTTACTAGCTCAAGACGAGAGAGAGATAAAACAAAAAAGATGGACGCATTGCGACCTGGTGTGCAGGACGCCGCCTGCGAAGTGCAGCGATGGTAATCAAAGGTCCTGCAGCGCGAAAGGGGCGGCGCCGATTAAGGACCGCAAGCCTTCAGAAGCAGTTGGGACGCTACAGCACAGGCGCGTCTTGGCTCTGGCTTGAGGGTACATTGGGGCACTCTCGTTCCCGCCCACCCCCACGGGCGTTAATCGCGGCTCGGTTGTGTGTTCGAGGATGGGCGGCGCGACTGCGACTGGTGAGGGTCGAGACGGGGAGATGGACGGCGCACCGAGACCTGATCAAACAAAAATGTGGTGCGCTCGCGATGGGAGGGGGGTTGACAGCAGCAAGTGCGGGAGTGAGATGAGGGGGACGCACCACGGGTGCGGTACTGCCTACTAGGTAGGTAGGCTCGTTGGTGGATTCAGGGGGTGTTGGAGGAGTCGGACTGCGGGCCCGATAGGGCAGGGAAATTGGCTCGGGGGGAGATCTGATGACAGAGTCAGCATGACGAGCTGCCGTCTTGACGACACTGCAATTCCTGAGCAAAGTCGTCGCTTCAGGTCAGATCAAGACTGATTGCAGTTCGAAGAAACCGAAGCCGAAATAGAAGCCCCCCACCAGTCCCTTGCAACCTCTCTGATGCTCTAATGATATGCCGGAGCAGCATAACCCCCTGACTATCTGGACTGGCCTTGGGGGGACTTTGGTCTTCACGGTGGACGTGGATGTGATGAGAAGAACAAGAGGAAGAGGCAGGCCTAGCTGGATCGGAAGCCCCCATCTCATCGGTGGAGACCGGGCCTCTCAGGAACCGAAGAAACGAGTCCGGGTACGACGGCCGTGGACCGGAAGCCAGGATCAAGCAGCACAACCCCTGACTGGCAGCTGCTGGCGTACCCAACGGGATCACGCCCCCGGTGAAGCCGCCCAGCTCACTTTCCGTCCTTACAGGATGCATATGCAGCCTGCAGCTCGAGGCCTTCATCGTTTGTGGTCAATGAATGATGTAGGAGAATTTGCCGCGACGAGCTGCGCGTGGCAAGATGAGGATAGGCCCGGCGTCCATGGCGAGCCGAGACGCGGATCGGGCTGCAGATTCAGATGGCAAGTGTGAGGAAGCGTGTCCTGGCAAAGACCTAGCTCTCCTAAGAACGAAGAGCCACCACAAGGGCATGCGTGTCGTGCGAACAACGCTAAGGCGAGTGGTCTGGGCCTGGGCCGACAGCTAGTTTCAAGGATCATATGGAGGCCAGATACCCAGGTAGGTAGGACAGGAGGGTTTGAGCAAGGTACAGGCGGCGGTGTTTTTGGGCGACAGAACCCAATTTTGGACGCTCAATGACCACAGGCAATGTCCAGTCTGGTAATTGATGCTGACTGCTGACGAGAAGAAAAGAGTTTCGATTCAGGGAAGCCTGGATATATCTAAACCTGGCACATCTGGCAGGGCAAATATAGGGGCAGGCATTGTAAGTATACCATCGGCAGGAAACCGCTCATCTGTCCGTGCCTTTTGTTTCCTCCGACGAATTGGCCGTGCCCTGCCTTACCGTGCCTACCTGCCCAGGCACTACCTTGATTATAAGGTAGGGACACCCAAGAGTCAGGAGCCGCCAGGCTTATGGTAGGTTCTTACATCCTGAGGGTGCTGCTTGGGTCTATGTCGCCGCGTCGGGCCTGGAGCGAACCTGGCAATTGAGTGTGCCCTGAAATACGGAGGGGGCTTCCAGATTCACAGTGGCCCTGTTCCCTGTAGGATCTCCCACTTCAGCCACTGAACGATTCATCCGCTACTTGCCCCGGCGCTGTCCGTGCTGCCAATGGCCGGGCGCGCCAATGGATCTTGGGGAAAGGGGGTAGGGGGTAAAGGGGGGGGGGGGGCTCGAGAGGGAAAGAGGGGGGAAGAAGACCCCTGCACCCGTGCTTGCCTCTAGCAGCTCGAGTACCTTACCTAGCGCCAAGTGGTTTGGGCAACTGCTACCGGTGGAGGTGAGCACCCACCAGTCGTTGTTCCTTCCTTTTTTTTCTGGGCGGGTGGGACCCCTGGCGCTCGCTCTCGACCAAAAACTGCAGAGATAATTAAAACCGGGTGACATTTGAGAACCAGCCCAACCTTCTTCCCCTTTACCCTGCTTCCCCTGCTCGTCATCTTTTCGCTGTTGCGACACTTTCCCTTTTCCCCCGAGAGGCATCAGGCGAGAGAGCGAGAAAGAGAGAAAGAACAGAGAGAACCAGAGCGAGCAATTGACAACGGCGACACCAAAGGCGAGCTGTCCTGACCTGAAAAGCTTGAGTATATCGCTCTGCCCCAGTTCCCCTCC